ACAGAGCTGCCAGAGACTGATCTAAAATGCAATCTGATTGCCCAAATTTCAGTGTCAAACTGTTCTCTGCTTACCGGATTGCCTACAAGAAAAAGTTCAAGCTCACTAAGCAGACAGTTAAGGTCCTTCAGGGCCAGCCCCTGCCCCTCTCTGCAGCATTGCTTCTCTCCACATTGTCACACACTTTGTGCTTCAGCAACTCCAGCATGCTCACAAACTCCTCGTGTAAATATGCAGGTTTTCATTTCTCTCTTTGCTCAAGGCAGTCCATGTGCTTGGATTGTCTTGTTCTTGGCTTGGCAAATTCTTAGCCATTATTTGAAAGTCATGTGAAATGACTAAAGAAAAAGATTGACAACATACAAAAATTAAAATATTCAATACATCATTAGCAAAGCTTAAAGACAGAAGACGTATTGGAAGGATATAGTTGCAGTATATCTAATGGTTATGTAGAATTGATAAAGCGCTCTTCACAGTTACTAAGAAGTTTGTCCACTTTTATCAACAAACGATTCACAGATGTAGAAATGATAATGTCTAATACACTTCAAAAAGATATTCAGACTTTTTCTTACTGCTGACAAAGAAATGCAAATTAAAATCCCATTTTATCAGTTTGGCAAATGTAAAATATTGATAATATTCAATAGTGGTTAAAGTAAAAGCACTGTTATATACCTGTTGGCAAGGCAATGTGATATATAAATTACCAGTTGACCCAACAGTTCCATTTTTAGGATTCCCTGCCTCTGCTGCCCTTCCTTCCTCCTCTCATTCCCCACTCTACCCCTACAAATAATTACAGAAGTACTTAAGTACAAATTTCCAAAGATATTCACTACATCTTTGTTTGGTAAAACCTAGATCCCTGTCTACAGAAGAAAGGTTATACTATAGAGCAGTCATTTAAAAGTATAAGGTAGAACTATGTGGCCTGACATGGAAAAATACATTTCTATTGATATGTATATAGTTACCTATTTCTGTGTAATAAATCATTCCAAAATTTAGCCCCTTAAACATTTCTTTATCTTACAGTTTCTATTGGTCGGGAATCCAGTAGCGGCTTAGCCGAGTTGTTCTGGCTAAGGTTTTCTCATGACATTGCAGATAAGCTGTCACCTGGGTCTACAGACATCTGAAGTTCAACTGGGGCTAAAGGATCAGCTTCCAGAGTCACTCACATGGTCATCAGCAGGCCTCAAAAACTTACCCTGTGGCACCCCATTGGCTGAGTGTTCCTGCAACATGGCATCTGGCTTCTCCCAGAATGAGTGATACAAGAAAAAAAAAAAAAAAGTCCAAGATGGATGCCTCAGTTCTTTGTAACCTAATCTCAGGAGTGACACCATCACTTCTGCTGTATTCTGTTGTTACACAGACCAACCCTGGTACAATGTGCAAGGGGTTAACCAAGGATGTGAATAACAGGAAGCAGGAGATCTTTGGGGATTATCTTGGAGGCTGGTTACCACACTCTGCTTTTAAAAAATAGCAAAAAAAAAATTGCCCTAACCGGTTTGGCTCAGTGGATAGAGCGACGGCCTGCGGACTGAAGGGTCCCAGGTTCGATTCCAGTCAAGGGCATGTAGCTTGGTTGCGGGCACATCCCCAGTAGGGGGTGTGCAGGAGGCAGCTGATCTATGTTTCTCTCTCATTGATGTTTCTAACTCTCTATTCCTCTCCCTTCCTCTCTGTAAAATATCAATAAAATATATTTTTTAAAAAATAGCAAATTATACACAAATGTGTATTGTACTTTAATTTTATTTTTAAAGGGGATTTATGTATGTGTAAATATATATATACAAGAAAAAATTGAATGGCTCATACCAAACTCGTAACATTAGCCAGCTCTGTGTAGTGGGGTTGGTATGGGGTTGGGGTGGGGAATATTGAAAATAGCATGTTCATAAAAAAAAAAAAGAAAAAAAGCATGTTCACTTATTTATAAAGTTTGTTTTCCTTTTATACGCTCTAAAGAGCATGTGTTATTTTCTTACTGAAAAGAATGAAATAAGACCCTGTTTCCTTCTGCAGGGAGCCTTACTGACACCCCTGTGAAGCTGATTGTATTGCCCTCCTCAGTGCTCTCCTGTTTCTGCCACAAGACCCCACTGTGGCATGAGCCTCTTTGTGCTGCCTCACCTCCACCTGTGAATCTTAAGGACTAGGATGAGTGCTCATCTTTGAATCCTCTGTAGCTAACACTGCAAAGCACAACATACTTGCTCTGTATGTTTGTTGAATGAGTGTATGTCATGCCACCAGTATTTATTGAGTAGCTCCAAAGATAATAGAGCTTGAATCTAGACCCTTGCTACCTTGATAGCTTTTTGACCTTCAGATCCCCATTCTTGTTCAATTATCTTGCTAAACACAGTATTCTTATTTCATTTTTTCTTTGGGATCCTATCTAGTAACTGGTGTGGGAGATGGTGTTAATTTTTTAAAATGAGAGCCCTGATGGAAAAGAATTATATGCAATAGAGAAAATGTGCTCTGTTTCATGCCAGTGTAGGTTTCAAATATTCAGCTAAATATTCTTGCCTAAATGAGAAGGGTAAGAGAGCTGAATCAGCCCCAAATCTTTTACCTAATGTTTGTATCACAAATGGAAGCAGTTATAATTGCTGGCAGAAATGAATCATTCCAAAACTAGGTCTGTGCAGACAATTCTTTATTGTGTTCACTTAAGATGACTTAAAGCAACCATCCTTTAATTGCAATGGTCCCCAAAAGCAGAGATCTGTTATTTGCTGTTGGCTTTAAAAGTTAATTTTCAGTTTTTTTTCTTTTCTGAGTGAACTTTGGATATATGCTTACACACACACATAATTTGAACTGTTGCTTCAGACTTCATTATTTCCTAAAGAAGGAACAGTTATCACTTAAAAAAAAAAAAAGCAGAGTCCTTGAAATAGCCATGTAACCAGAGCTGTTAACAACAAAAACCAAGAGTTCCCTAGGCACCGGGAGCACGGGGTTCCCTATAATGCTTTCCAGTGTTATTCCTGGAAAGTTGGCAGAGTAGTGGGTCATCCGCAAACACTTTCTTGAGTGCCCACCTGTGCGAGGCCCGGAGGTTCCCTACAAGGCGCTCAGCACGGGGCGCTGGAGGTTGGTTTGAGAGCCAGTTCTCTCACCAAAGTGAGCTCCCAGCACATGCAAAGCTGGACCAGGGATGCTGCCAATCCCAGATGTAACTTCTTTTTTCTGCTGCGGTGGTAATCTGCGGTTTCCATCTGGGCTGGAAGAGTCGTGTTCGGCACAAAGGTGGGAATATGGAGGACAAAAAAGAACCACCAGAGAAATGGATTTAAATGTTAGGAGTTTGGGATGCGGCTGCGGGGGGCCAGGGGGAGGGAGGGGCGGGTGGTGTGGCTGGATCAGAGGAAAGAACGAAAGGAGAGGTGGAGCGCATCTCGAGCTCTCTCCCTGGCACCCAAACCCTGACCGTGTCCAAGGAGCGCGAAAACTAAACTGTGCCTGGCTCTTAACCGTGACCTCCTCTGAGCGAATGACGGGGTCCGGGCGTTTCTTTCCAGGGACGGAAGTTCAGATAAAAGGGTCACAAAAGTCTAGCGCTTCAGAACGTAAGAGTTTTCTTTTTCTCTTAGCCGAGTGGGAAGTCCTGCGGGACACGGAGGTGCCTTGGAGCGGGAGATAGGAGATAGGGGTTGTCCTGCTCGCCCAAAGCGGCTCGCCACGGCCCGCAGGCTGCAGTGGGGCCAGGGACCCACGGGAAGCTCACACCTAGTCTCAGCTC